AAAGAGTAGTATGCATATATATATGCCCACAGAGACATAGAGAGAGATAGAGAAATAAAGAATAAAGGGACATAGTTCCAAATTTTTATTTTTATGGGAGAATTTGAAATTTTACAATTTTAAAGAATTTCATAAATGCTAGAATTTCAAATTATTTATAAATTTTTCATCTAAACAAAGTATTCCACCCTAAAACATTTGAAATTCTACGAAAAAATGAATTACTCTATTAAAAATTCTCATCCAAATACATTATTAGTTTTACCTTACATCATGAAGATCTATCTAGTGTTTATTATTTAGACACTTAAAAATTTATCGATATACAAGAATTGTATCCTCTCATGATACATAATATTTTCTTAGTAAGCTACATCTATCTCATACAAAAGATTTTTTAAGACTTAAAATTAACTTATATATAAATACCTTTTTCTTGATTGTATCCCTTGGCAACTAGCCTTGCCTTGTTTCCAATTATGATTTCAAACACATCAAGCTTATCTCTAAAAACCCATTTTGTACCAATTATAGGATGATCATTTGGCAAGGGACTAAATCCCACACTTGATTACTTTTAAACTAATTTAGTTCCTCTTACATTACAAATAGCCAATGTTCATCTAGAATAACTTTCTTTATTGTTTTAGATTTTATTTGAGACACAAATGCCATTTTATTGCAACTATTTCTAATGGCATGTCTAGTGGCTACCCCTTTTTTCAATGTCTCCAATAATGTTATCATTTGACAAGTCATAGGTAGTTTTCCACTCCTTAGATAGTTCTCTAGTTACTTCCTCTATGGTTCCATCAAGTTCTTTCACTTTTCACTCATTCTTGAGTTCACTATCAATGTACACACCATCTAGTAATTATCCAACATCATCTATGGTTTCACAATTTTCCTTTTGAGGGTTGGTTTCATCAAAAACAACATGCACAAATTTCTCCACTACAAGAGTTCTTTTATTAAATACCTTATAAGCATTACTATGCAAATCATAGCATAAAAAGATTGCTTC